ATATATGCTAGTCATCCTCGGGCAAATTAGTGTCGGCCGCGCAACACCAATGCGTGTTGGCGGACTTCATATGTCTTCAATATGTACTATGTTTTTTTATATAGAATCAGCGTGATAAACGAGCACACAGTCCACCTTATGGTAAGTGGATGCTGTGGCCTATGGACATCTACATCTATCCCAGATTAAAAACATAATGGACTAAGATGGAATGCCTCGTTTCCAGTAAAGGGTCTCGGGTTCTCTACACTCACCATACGAAACAGCTTAATACAGCTGATTAAGCTGCTATTTTACGTTGATGTTCTGTGAGAGCGTGGTTCTTCCCCGGTCGAGCCGACTCATTCGTGCTACAACCATAACATAGCTGCAGCATAGCTCTACCACGTTGCGGTAGATGTACAAGTCAAGCCGATCTGACAACCGAACACGTGCACTTAAAATTGCTATTAACAATTTAGTTAAAATTTTGGTGGCTGGGATCGAACCCAGGATGCTCGCGTACTGTGAAATTTACGGTGTGAGTAAAATCCCTGAGTTTTGCTCTTATTAACAAGTTAAAAAATATAACATAAAATATGTGCCATGCTTTACTTAAAAGATTTGTCTATAACAGGTGATAGTAGGGACTTTACGATGTTCTCTTACCCATTTCTTCCTCAAATAGAAGTGTGTCCACTGCTGTGTTGATGCAACAGGTTAGACGCATTTCATTTTAGCCTTCAGAGAATAAAACCCTTGTAAAATTCTGTGGCCTTTGATTGTAATAGAATTTTTTTATTCAATATAGGTTACTTGCTATTCTTATTGAAAGTAATTTTTTTACTTTACTACCGTTTCGGTAAAAACCTCTGTCCTGGAAAGAACCAGCAAGAAACCCAGCGAGACTTTTAAAAAAGTATTATAAATTATGAAAGGTTGCACGAACTATTTACAGCTTGGCGACCACCCCATTCCCAGAGGATTAATATCAACCAAATGTATTCATTTTAATAACCCTTTTTATATAGATTTTTGTTTTCAAGTTTTTTTTTTCAAGATTATATTTTTAAGTGTCTATGGGCTGCAGGAGGTCAGTAGACGTTTACCACTTTGATATTATTAAATATACTTGGAGTGCAGAGCGATAATCTTTTTGTTTTCAACTCTACTGGCTGATACCTGCTCGCTTCGCTGGGCGCACGATACTTCGCTGGGTGCACGATAATAGACGATAATAACGTAGATATAAAATATAAAAAAAATTATGGTACTATCGTAAAATCCGTTCTTAGTGACCGTCTACATTGCGAAATAAGTAACATGATGAGTCAGCCAGCCAGTGATATTTCGTTTATATATATATATGGATTGCTGTAAGATTGATCGTAGTAAGAATCGGAATTATTTATGACTTGCGACCCGCCCAGCTTCGCCGGGGTAGGATCTATTAATATGACGAATCATCAATTACCCATTTATTTTATCAATTTTTCCACACAAAAATTCTACAAGTTATACGAATAAAATAACTTTTTAACATTTTAAATGACGAATTCTTTTATTTCCGGTTATTCCAATGATAACTATTTTCTACTGTGTTATTTTAAAAAAGATTTCCTATATTTTCGTCTTCTTTCTACTTTAGTAGTCTCTCTTAGAACACTACTTTTGTGTCGCTAAAACACTGCGATTTATTATCCTATATTAAAGGACTAGCTTCAACATCACTTATTACGAGATAGTCAGTCATTTGTTCATGAAGTTTTATCACAATCCGTTTAGCAAATCCGTAGATTACTGACAGAAAGATTAATTGACAGGATCTCACAGGTAATTTTTTTACAAAATTCGTATCTCGTATAATCTCGTATAAAAGGTTCAATAATATAGATGGATACCTCAGTTATATAGTAGTTATTTCACAGGGGATATTGATGCCGTGGTGACGATCACATTGGGTCGCGCTCACCGCGAAAATGGTGTAGACGCGCTCGCTTGCGACCGCCTTGATGTTAAGTTTAACGTCGGATCAGCGACCATGAAACTTGATAATATGTTTGGAGGTGATAACGAATTAGGTAAGTAATTCTCACCGATCATTAATATTTTTATGATACGTTACGATATGATACGACCAATACGATACGACACTGACCAATTAGCTTTTATAATTCAAGAGGAAAACCGCTTACATATGGTCGGTTGTGAGTTCCAACTGTAACGTATTATCTTTTTTAATAATTCCGGAAAGAATATTATTAACAATTCCATTTATTTTATGATTTTTATTTCAGGAAATGCAATGAATATGCTCCTTAATGAAAATTGGCAAAAATTGGCTAAAGAACTTCAAGGGCCGATGGAAGAAGCTCTTCGCGATTTCCTGAAACCTTTAGCCGATCATGCATTTGGTACACTCGATGCGGATGATATATTATCATAAAAGGATAGTTAGTACATAACAATAATTATGTAAATAATTAATTTATTTATTTATTTTAGTTATAATATTTAGATAGGACATTTTTACATCCCTCTAAACAATTAATAAAATGAAAATTGAGTCAGAATAAAACTAATTATACAGATTTTATCGCGTTTAACTAACTTATTTTTATTTTTTTCCCGACGTTTCGGGCGCTTTACATCACCCATGATCACGGGGGGGGGGGGGCTAAGATATTTGACGTCTCAATGCCGTAGTTAGCCCGGCTTCAGTTTTTGAATATTGCATGCCTTAAGCGTAAAGCGCGTAGGTATGTGATATATACTAGCGCCTAAAAATCAAGATTCCAACGTTTTGTCGCATGAAATCGTATCTAACAATCATATTTAACATATAAATGATGAAAAATCACATTGTCAGGACGATAAATGATTTTTGAACTTATTTTTTTATCGATTAATTGCTATTTTTACATTAAAAAAGTCGTTTTATTAGCGTATGGTGTAGATTTATCACGGCCGCATGGAGGGATAAACACGATATTTTGAAAATATCAATTGTTCAATTCAATCTATTTTTAATCTATTCATCTATCATGTGGGAAGCCATGGAATGTTTGGAATGTTGGCTGTTTAATTTTGTTTTGTTTAGTAAAAATTATTTCTTTTCGGTTGAAAAATTCCAAAATTTTCAGTGTTAGTCGCAGCCTTGTAATTATATATTTTACTAAATACAGATACACTTTGATTCACTGCGGGCTCATCAAGAAATCATTATTGCTTTACCCTTTATCATTTTATTCTTTACCTTCTTTACCGATCCGATCCGTAAAAAAACACTGCTGGAGACGGGCTTCTAATTTTGCTGGAAAGATTTGACTTAATCGTGACGCTTAAAATTTTTATGTATATAAATATATTTTTTTTATATATGAAAAGGTGACAAGCGAGCACACAGTCCACCTGATGGTAAGTGGTTGCTGTGGCCCATAAACATCTACATCTATCCTCGTTTGCGAATCATAATGCAGATGCGTTATCAGCCTTGAGGACTAAGATGAAATGCCTCTTTTCCAGTAAAAAGGGTCTCCGGTTCTCTACACTCACCATACGAAACACAGCAGCATTAAGCTGCTATTTGACGCTGGTATTCTGTGAGAGCGTGGTCCTCCTCCGGTCGAGCCGACCCATTCGTGCTACAAATATACAATTAATATAGCTGCAGCATGGCTCTACCACGTTAAAATATATATATATATATATATATATATATATATATATATATATATATATATATATATATATATATATTAGAAAGATAACATCTATTTAAATTTTTGGGTGGTCTGACAAACGGTTGAGTTAATAATAATATTGTCAAACTCAAATTGTCATTATTTACTGATCAAACTATATCAAATAAAAAAATTACACTTACGTTTTATATATCAATTTTGCGAAAACATTAATCCAAAAAAACTTTGGGCAAGTTACATAAAATTATACCGCTGGTTTATTATTTAGCTAGAAGTTTATTATTTATCTATACCTAGAAAATAAAAAGTTTATTTGTGTACTATACGTGTTCCGGATGACCAACCTTTATCGACGGTCACCGCTTAGACTAGTACGAGTATGTCCAAATAAACATACTTTTTTGAAAAGGAAAAATATACATTTGGACATTCTATTTTAAATATACTCGTATTTAGATATTTTATTAAAAAAAAATCAGGAAAATTAAACACAAAATTGTCTGTCATTGGTTTATTTAATGATTAAGCAAAAATGCGTCATTTTATGAATTTTTACATTACTTAAATAAATAGTTAAAACTTAACTTATAATATTAGAAGTTTATTTTTATAAACAAATTTTAACTTACGTAAACATGTTAAAAGGAATACATGTTGTAGCTTACATAAAAAGTAATTAAGAAAACATTGAAGATGCATTTAAATGTCTCGAATTTGGATAAAACTTATATAAACGAAAATCAAAGCTAGTGTCTTACCAAAATCATCACAGCATTTTTAATAAAACTACATTCAATAACATACTGATAAGTAGTAAGTAATACTTGATCTTTTTTTTTAAATCAGTTCCAAAACAATGATAGCTTATTGTATTAATATCACTCGGTGAAAGTATAATTTTTGTCAAAAAAATTACTTCTATTTCTTCTAAGGTTTCAGCCAAAGTTCGATAGGAATTTTCATAAAAGCAGCATTGAGGAAATTCTGGAAATGCTTGGCTATTGCCATAGACGCGGCTGGTCTCATTTCATCTATAATTTCAGGTGCGTTATTATTCAGGAACTGGTTCATGGCTTCACCTGAAATTAAGTTCAACAATTTATTAATAAAATTAATACAATCATTATTCATTCTAATTGATTATTGTTTTATGAATATTAATGGTTGGCTATTCCAGCTAGTGTTTAGATGTTATATTAAGGTGAAAGTTAAAAACTCTATAATATTGAGCCTCTTTACTAGAAAAAAAAAACCTTGTTAGCGTTTACGTAATTGTAGGCTTTAAGCGATGGGCGATTGAAGCTCCAAATAAAGCTGTATCATTTGTACACGCTGTTGCTGAACTGTGTAAGGAGGTCACACTCGTCACTCATAAATATTATATATTCAAACGTAGAGATGGCATTTCTTTCAAGAAACTATTGTCATTTTCTATCATTGAACGTCAATGCACTGCGCCTCAATGAGGGCATTCACAATTTTTTCTGCCACCAGGTAGACGCTACTTTAGCGTAGGTCGAACCGATTTCATGGAGAGGAAATTAAATTGTCAGGGAAATATAAATATTAATGGTTTTTTTTCTGAAATATTAGTTGTATTTTATATAGGTTAGATTAAGATGGATAAACCAAACTAAACGGATATTCCTAAAAATATAATAATTTAAAAAAAAATGTGCCAAAAATTCAAAGAGCAACCCACCTAGGCATTGTTTTGTGTAAACATTAGAAACCAAAAAACGTTTATTTGAAATTCAATTAATCACACACTAGCGACATCTGGTGAGCAGAAAATTATTAGCTCTCATTGCCTCAATAAATTTTTTTTGTTATTTGCCATCAGTGTAATTGCCATTTCGTCCCGTGAATGTTGCAAAAGGCCACTATAGGAACTATCAGAAATAGGAGTGTATATTGTACAAAAAAAATTACTTACCAATCACACTACCGTGGTTGACTGTATCCCTAACCTTGAAGCGGGAATTTTTAAGCTTGAAGTCAACAAGTAATCTCTCGATTGCCATGTACTTTACATTTTCACGTTCAATCTCCTTGCCGTAGATTTTCGCGATCGCTGCGACATCCACTGTAATTTAACAAGGGTTGTTTTTAAATATTTTTTTAATAAAAATTAGATGAAACAAACGTACATAATCCACAGTTTATGATGATAAGTGTCCACTGCAGTCCATGGAAAACTGCAGTCAGCATCAAACAAATAAAGCTATAGATAGAGAAAGCGTAGTCACTTTTAAGGACTAAGATGGAATGCTTTACGCCTGTAATTATGTTGACTCTCTATACCCTTCACACGGGAACATAGCTGTAAGAACTGCCATTTTGTGGCAAAGGAGTAAAGCAGCAGTTACGAGGGTATGACTTCTCATTAAAAGGGGATTAATTTGTGAAATTAAAATACAGAAGGGAATCTTCCTAATCTTTATTTAATATTTCGAATATTTAGGTAATAAAAAATAAAAAAGTTAGTTTGGTAAGACTAAATATTTACATCATCCGATTATCGGATGGTAGTGATAAAGTATATAGTCAACTACTGAATAGAATAGAGTATAATATCCTTCCGCAGTCAAAGAATGAACCACGATCTCACAGAATACGAGCGTAACATAGCAGCTTAATGATGTTGTGTTTCTTTTTTTAATGGTATAGGGGTGACAAACGAGCACACAGTCCACTTGATGTTAAGTGGATGTTGTGGCAAAATGCAGATGCGTTGCCAGCCCTGAGGACTGAGATGGAATGCCTCGTTTACAGTAAAAAGGGTCTCCGGTTCTATATACTCACTATACGAAAAACAGCACCATTAAGCTGCTATTTTACTCTGGTATTCTGTAAGAGCGTGGTCCTACCCCGGTCGATACGACCCATTCGTCCTGCAACTACAATGTAACTGGAGCATGGCTCTAACACGTTAAAAATCGTATGATAATTATTGAGGACGGGAGGTCCTTCCTATGGGTGATGAGGAATTCTGCTTAGTCTTTAACTGACATGATATCCACATTTTGATTCCTTATTTAGGATACCTATATGTACGTGTATATGAGCTATTTTGAAATAGCGCACTGACGTTTAAAACAATACGCGAGTAATTGCCATAGCCCTACGGATCAGTAAGTTTCAATGGGTCGGCTTTATAGCTCGAAGAACTGCCAACAGTAAAGGAAGGCTTCCGAGAGGTATCTTCGTACAGATAAACAAAGTGTAATGGGGTGTCAATCCCTCGCTATATGGAGTGACGACCTGATAAGACATGCAAGAATTTGGTGGATACAAGTGGCTCTGCAACTTTTTTCGGCAATCCTTGGAGGGTGGGGCTAATTTTAGAAATAGACTTGTGAAGGGCTGTAAAAATACTGATGATGACGCGGAGCAATAAAATTTAATACCAACTCAAAACCATGCTTAAGCACAAATGCTATCTTCGTTACCTATTCACAATCTTCATTATCAGATCTTCACGAGTCTACTGCAGAACATAGGAATGCCTGAGGACGATCTTGAGCCAACTACATCTATCTATCTTATACAATCTTATATACATGCATAACTGAATACTAACTGAAAGCGGCCCAGAAATCTCCCTGAGATCGGACCGGAAAGAGAAGCACTTGACCGGAGACTTCATAACGACCAGTTACTTCAATGCGGGGTAACGCCAGTCCCATATCAATACGCATCTTCTTCAAATCAGATCTGGAAAAACAATTAAATGCATGTTGATTATTATATATAAACCTTTATAAATAAAAATTAGGTGTCACATTGTTTTTCCGTAATAAACTGCTAAACTACTAAATAACTAACTAACTAATAAATCAATGATATTTTGCACACTGTGTGCCATTTGGCCCAACTTAAGATATAGGATAGTTATAGGTTGATGGTAGAGAATGTCTTTAGGCATTAAGTCCGCCCTTTGTATCTTTTTTTTCTAAGGGAACGCAATAAAGGTATCGTTTCCAGTAAAAATGGGTCTCCGGATCTCTACACTCACCATACGAAACACAGCAGTATTAAGTTTCTATTTTACGCTGGTATTCTGTGGGAGCGTGGTCCTTCCCGGTGTAGCTTACTCATTCGTGCTACAACCATAATATAGCTGTAGCGTGGCTCTACCACGTAGGATACGTATTGATTAAGGAAAATTCTTCCAAATATAGGAGAGGTTCATGTCGAGCTGGAAAGTTACAGATTGAAAAGAAGAAGAAAGAAAAATGAAGGAATCATTTTCCACAAAGTCCTAACTATTTCTGCCGACCAGCAGCAGTTTACCTACTCGTGTTTAAAGAGTTAGAATAGTCCATAAAAACATTTCCGCTGTAATTTCGGCGATTAAATCGCATCTGTAGCATTTAATTTATTATTTAAAGTTAAAAATGCAGGTGATGGACTGCAGAAAACTTCTTACAAATGCAGTAAACTACTAACAATTTAAACTATAAGCTCGTTTCTTTCTTATATTATAATGATATGAAAAACGATTTTGTATAGAAAAAACTACCAGAATATTGTCACCATAGATGATTAACATAGAATCACAAACTTATTACTTAGATATTTTAACTTCATTTTACTCATCCTATAACCCGATTAGTTTCTATGCTATGCATTTTCCTACGAAGCTATGGCTATAGATAGACACTCAGATCTAACCTCGATTAAGAATCAATATAAAGATGCGTTGTCACCCCTGAGTTCTAATATGGAATGCCTCGTTACCGGTAATAGAGCTTAACGATTACCGTAAACGACTACCGATCATATATCATGAGTGCTTTTTCGCAACATTCAGTTGCAAGACAAAATTTTGCAACTAACATCCCGCATTAATAAGAGCTGTCGATTGCTTTATAGCGGTAACATTCACTACTGATATAAGTTTAATATCATTTTATCTAACACTAGCGATCTACCGTGGCTTTGCACGAGTGATTTCTGGATCTCGACAACAGCGCCACTTGCCGAGTCCGACTGAGTTTTTAAACCATCTAAGAACCCACTCAAATACACTAAAGTTGTTCAAAACGACTATAAATCAATAGCATGCTACATACTATAAACTATAAATTTCTAGCGCGCTATTAAATACGCTATGTCATAGCGCGCTATTTATAAGAAAGCGTGTAGGAGGCCGGCAAGCGCGTTAAGTTTAGCAGCACGCTATATCTCAGAGCACGCGAACGCGACATTACTTGTCGTTCATTGGATAGACCGCATGCTATTATATAAGAACATTATTTCGTAATAAGTTGCATTTTAGATTAAAATAAAATAAAGTGGTAAAGAGATAATACATGTAAACGTTATTTTAACCTTAATATAAATTATAAATCAATTAAAGGTGTATTTAAAAGTTTATTGATTGTATATACAAAACTCAACTATTTACAAACACATAACACTTTTGTATCTATATTTTATTTACATTTAAAAACATTAGTTAGGCTTCTTTTGTAGCAGACAACTGAGTTTTTCGATCACTTATAAATATACAGTATACACTAACTAAACAACGTCTAACACTAAATTAGTTCGCTCGTGATGAATAGCGTGCTATAGGATTTCATTTGCGTCACACGTCTGCTCCCAACAGCGCTGCTGCTAAAACTAATAGCGACTACTTACATAGCACGCGCTATGCGTTATGGAGAGATAGCGCGCTAAAATATGGCGCTATGTGCTATATTAACCACTATTAAAATACACACAAAAGTTCAACATAATCGGTCGAGCCACTTTCCACTTTTTGCGAGACAAACGGATAGTAATTGATTTTTATATATGTAGAGATTTAAAGTTAAAGAGATAAAACTTTAAGTACTCCTAGTTTAATAATATTAGAATTTCTCGTTATCATTGTGCATTGTTTTCAAATCTTGAAGAGGAATTCATTGGACATAGATGTCTCAATGAATTATTTTGAAAGTTGAATTGGATGTAGTCACTAAAAAAAAAACCCAACTCACAATCGTCTCAAAAAAAAGTTACATATAATATCCTGAAAAAATTCTTAAAGTCTATACTGTAAAAATATATCTACTGAAAATGCACTTGGTTGTTTTGATTAGTTTTTAATAACTTACATAATACTGTTATAATATCATGTAGTAATAGTATTCATCAAAATATATTCATAATGAATGTTGTCATCGAAAAGATAAATATGTTATTACACTTTTATCGGAAGTAAAACAAAACCTTGATACAAATTGTGATTCTGTGCGATAGAGATTTCTAGCCAATTCTTCTCGTAAGTAAACTCAAAGATATTCCAGTAATTTGTTATACATTCAGCAGAATAACCTTCCTAATTGAAGTACTCCGACTGGGAGTAACATCTATAAGATGAAGTGTCTACAAAGGAGGTCCTACGTTTGCCGGTCTACTTGCCATAGTACTCCTAAGAGAGATTAAATTTATAATAAAAAATAAAAATATAAATTTCTTTGCAACTTTCCGCTAAACATATAAAATGATGTGTCTTACCTGGATTGAAGCGCACCTCCCGCCCTCCCTCAATTGCATACACTAACTCCGTCACCACTAGACCAAGCACCACTACTCTCAACACCACTATTCCAGGCAAGACACACCATCGACGATAATACATTTAATTATTATCAATCATTAATTATTATATTCGACGATAATACATTTAATTATTTAATTATTAATTTAACACATATATTTGTATTATCGTCGATGGTGTGTCTTGCCTGGAATAGTGGTGTTGAGAGTAGTGGTGCTTGGTCTAGTGGTGACGGAGTTAGTGTATGCAATTGAGGGAGGGCGGGAGGTGCGCTTCAATCCAGGTAAGACACATCATTTTATATGTTTAGCGGAAAGTTGCAAAGAAATTTATATTTTTATTTTTTATTATAATGGATTTCCGCAAAGTAACGCCTGATTCTATCAATTAGATTAAATTTAGCAGAATTAATGATTATTAATTAAATATTTATGCCACAGAAGTGAGTGTCATAATTGGTAAGGGACGTCCTAAATTTTATTGACGTAGTTTGCGATATATTGAAGGTGGGCCAAGTTAACAGTATTAAGAATGTGAAAATAATAATAAAGATGAGGTGTGTCAGGATCGTGCCAAATTAAGGTTCGTAGTCTCTGCTTACCCCTCTAAGTAACAGGCAGGCATGTATGGAGATTTATGCCTGCCCTGAGTTCCCCCTTGCCTCTTACGTTACCCACTTGAAGAAGCGGGTTAATGGCACCGTATCCGATACGACTTAGGAGCCTTCAAGAAAAGAGCTTACTTCTTTCTAAAAGGCCGCGAACGCACCTGTAATTCCCCTGGTGTTGCGGTTGTTCATGGACGGCGGTACTCACTTACCATCAGGTGGGTCACATGCTCGTTTGCTCCCTCTTCTATAAAAAAAATTGGAACACCGCCACCTCACGACGATGACCTATATCGAACATAGGCGTGCATGCAGTATTAGGCACACATCCATACCTAAAACTGGGTAATTACATTCATCCGATATTAACAATTCACATGCACTATTTTTGTAAATTTTTGTTTTGTGTTGCATAAGGCTAATTTATATTTTTATTTAATTAATAGCTCTAATTAGACTAACAAGATTATAATTTATTATGAAAGACATTTGAGTTTAAGGTTTTGTTTTATTCTGTCCTAAAAAAATAACAAGAAATATTCGGAAAGATAATAACGACTAACCTGATCTTCGTGATTGTATAGTTACTCGGTCCCACAACGGTTATGTTGCTGAACACAGCGTTAACTCTCACGGGTCCTGCTGAATTTTCCATAACCAAACGGTCTATTAGAAGTGGCTCCACTGGGGGCACGTCAAGGTCCGATAGACCCCGTGCCAAATGCGGTCGGAGGCTATTGAATGAATTCTTGATACAGGTGTCCAGCTCCGGGTCACTCCGGTTACATGATGGCAGATAATCGGCTGCAAATAGATAAAATTATTCATTAAAATAATGATGCAAGGCACTCGGAATGTATGGAATTAAAAGTAATGTAAAAGTTTAAGAAAACTTAAGCAACAGCATTGATTAGGAACTGATAATTCTGATAATTATTTTATTTTATCCTGGTGAACTTGACCAGTAGACTAGGATAAAGTTATTAAATTATTGTATTGTCAGTAGTCCCTGATACGAGTGCAAATTTTCAACTCAATTGGCCAGCTACAAGTTAGTGAAAATTACATTAAAATATTCTGCTACATATATAGATAGATAGGTACACGCGAAGCTAATAAAAGCGTGTTGACAATTGATTTTTTAAATTTTGTAAAAAAAGAACCACGTTTTTTTGATATTCCTACATTGTCATAAAATTCTGAGCTATGTTCAATATTTGCAATCTGTAGCTCATCGGGAAATCTTCGAAATTTGAGTTGCAAGCTTCCACTCGAAACAACAGGCAGATAAACAAACAAGAAAGTGACAAAAACATGATAATAATTAAACATTAACGTCAATAAAATTCCTAGAACTAGTTTTAATCAATGTGTACTATTCGCGTACATATGAGAAAAGATTACGGTTAAAATGATTTTCATAAATGTTAAATTTGAAACAATTAAGAAAATGCAGCGCCAAATAAAATTGTGAATTATCTAAATAAAATATATATATATATATATATATATATATATATATATATATATTATGCTATGGGTATGGTATGGTATGGGTCACAAATAAGCACACAGTTTACCAGATGATAAGTAGGTGATGTGGCTCATAGAGATCTACATATATAAATCCAAATGTGTTGTCAGCCGTAAGGACTAATACAGCACTATTTATTAATAGGAGAAAGGCTCTCTGGTTCGCATCACTCGCCTTACGAAACACAGCACAGCAACTTCCCTGGCACGGAACACTAATTAAGAGTACGTTGGGAAATCAAAGTTCACGCAACCAAAGCCGCGGGAAAAATTCTAGTTATTAATATTATTTGGTTTCCAAAAAGTAGGCTTGTAATCGGAGCACGCACCGTCTACTGTGTCCTTGATGCTCCGATATGGAGAACTAGTTATCCCACAATTTCTCGAGAAGCTCGTAGGAAGGAAGCTTCGAAAGAAGCACTTTGTGCCAAACCTGATCGAAGGCCTTCGCTATGTCCAAACAAACGGTCAAGACCTCCCTCTTAGACACTACCGCTTCCGCCTATCTATGAGTTAAGCAAGCCATAAGATCACCAGCTGAGTGACTCCGACGGAAATCATACTGGCAATTACTAACGCTGGTGGTCCTCAAGGTAACTCATGAGCTGGCAAAGTAAAGCGTATTCGAGAGCCATTTAAATTTTATTAGGATGCTTTTGAAGTTCTTAAGTTCCCAACGTTTACTATGGTAAATTATAAAATAGACATGAACAACGAAAGAACTAAATGCACTGTTAGATTATACTAGCATGATTAAAATTCACCATACAGCTAAGTTGTAGGAACGAGATCTTCTTTGCATTAACATAAATTATTATTTTTATTTTATTGGCTACAGAGAGGCAGTATAAAGGCCCGCGTCCACTAGGCTCACCGAGCCGAGTCGAATCGAATCGCAAAAAAGTCGCCTTCTATATATTTACTATGAAACTGCGTCCATTAACAACGAGCCGCGGCGCGCTGAATTGAATCGTCCGCGCGAATTGCTTGACAGGCGAATTTCTTCGCCAATGAGATTCGATTCAATTCGGCGCGCCTCAGTCGACGCGGAGAAGTGGATACGTGACAACTTACTTTTATTAATTTCTATTAAGTTTTCATAAAAATCTTTTTGTTTAAATAAAAATGAATGTAGAACTTTTCGTGTTGAAAAATTTAAGAGGATCCCTTTTCAAATCTGGATATAAATGATGAAATTCGCCATAGTTATTTCTTTTCGTATAAATGTCGTCTATCCAGTATTTGGGAGCACGCCGTATAAAAACGACCTAACTTGATGAAGAGTTTGCAATGAATGAGCGATTCGATAAGACTTTTCAGAGATGGACGCACTAGAAATAAATGCGACTCGCTTCAATTAGTAGTCGACGCCAGGCTTTATACAGGCTGTGAGATATTCCATCTTCGTCCTCAGAGGTGACTGACGCGTCTGTAGCCTTCTTTGATCTTAGTTGACTGCGGCGTTCATGGACTGCAACGGCCTTATTTAATCAGGTGGACTAACTATAAGTTCAATTGCCACGTCAGTTTTGTATAATTAAGTATTAATATTACATAAAAACGTCGTTACAATTAAATGCCACATAGAGTCCATCATCAATAAGGTTAACAAGAAAGTATAACTTTGAACTTTATTATAATTATTGAATTTCGTCTAGGATTAGAAATCAGAACTCGTGATTGAGAGGCTAGTAGGTGTAAGGTAGTAATCATTACTCATAATGACGCTGTGATATCACACAGGGCCGCTGTCGTGTCGAATATAAAAGATTTTTAGCGTCTTTCTCGTCTTCGTCAGCTATAAGCACTTCTGGACATTTTTTTTTTCTAAAAATAATTCACTACAGACGTCATGTTGACTGAGGAATTTTCATTTGTACGAAAACAGGCACAGAATTTTTAGTAACATTTAAGACTTCAAGACTTCGTGAATATTCAATACGAACAAAATGCCTCTATGTTGTTAATTACATGTACATTCTAAGCATATTTATCATAATGAGAACCGTTTATGCCAGCTAATTTTGTCATCCAAACTAACTACTAACGTAACTAGTGTTCTTGGTATATCTCACAAGTATTACCTTTGTAAATTTGATATTCATAATCATACTTAAAATATAATATTCAAAAATAATTCATCCTTTTCTATAAACATAAGCAATCATTAAAGATTCTTGAATAAATATTTAGATCGCATCGCATATTATGGAGAGAGTCGCATACGGACTCAGTCAAGTGATACCACAGTGCATTTGTAAAGTAGGTATACGGGTTGCGACTACATTATATAACGACACTTATGTAATATGACCTTGTGTAAGAAATGCTTATATAAAATGGAAGGTGCGTTCAAGTTCAAGATATTCTTTTTCATATTCTTACAATAGTAGAAATGGAAATGAGAGTTGATGATTACAACATTTTAATGCCAAACAAGATCCACGAAGTGTTCACCGAAATTTCAGTAGGATATTGGCAGAGCTGTGGGTCGTAAGTTTATTACTCTCACAAGAAACAACTATTATTTTATGTTCTGTTAATAATAGTTCAGGGTCTGGGTGTTTGTTTATAAACAATCTATGACGTGAGATGGTGGCGAAAGAGAACCCGTAACTCCATTACATCTCGTGGTTATAGTAAGAGGCGACTATGGAATATGTTAGAAAAAGTTATGATTTATTTTTTAGAAAAACGTTACCCTCACACTAGGATTTTCTCCTGTTTCGTGGAGGCAGTTTACAAACATAAATTTCATTCAGTCCAAAATGGTTCATTAGCACAATAATTTTAAAATTAATCATTAATTAAATTAGAAATTAATTATTGTATATTAAATATGTACCCGGTAAGTTTTTTATAGCATTGGATGACAAACGAGCACACAGTCTACCTGATGATAAGTGGATGCTATGGCCCATAGACATACACATTTATCCTCAGTTAAGAATCAAAGTGAAAATGCGTTGTCACCCCTAAGGACTAAGCATCGATTCCAGTAAAAAGGGTCTCCGGTTCTTTACACTTACCATACGAAACAGAGCAGCATTACGCTGCTATTTTACGCTGGTATTCTGTGAGAGCGTATTTCTGTCCCGGTTAAGCCAACCCATTCGTGTTACAATTATAATATAAATGTAGTGTGGCTATACTCGTACAATAGTAAATATGTGGTGCCCTGGCGAAAATCTCATATTTACACTGTGAAAAGTGCTGTTCATTCTCATTGCGTTAACTACCGGAATGTGTACATATTTAAGAATACAATTATTACATTCTGTGGACCGTGTAGAGGCGGTGTAAGGATATCCACTACCCGACATCTTCCCGTGGGTAGCGTAAGGATCGACAGGAAACAGATCAGAGCATGAGGAACAGCGTCTTCCAATTGCAACAACTATAGCAAATGTATGAGATGGTCAATGGGGTAGACTTGTTCAGTAGTGGACTTGTGACAGACTGTAACAAGATTAGTGTAAGTGCTTAGACAAATCAAAAACTTTTTATCAATTTTTGAACAGACACACTTAATAAGGCTATGAAACAATTTTATATTGAGAGAGGATATATTTAGTAACCTGATTTAGTTTTACAACATTCTTTTAAGCAAAGATATAACCCACTTAAATCTGCTAAGAGCTGCTGATAAAAACACCATGATTTTTTAAATCTGTCATTAAAAAAGGACGTAGCAAAGTGGCGTGACGTTACTACGAAAATCGGTTTCGCAAAATATTGACGCAACTCAAGGCGATGTCAAGGCTCCGACGACGGGACACGATTGCGCGTCTTGAGACCGTTGTAGTTGTAGATTTTCGTGTAAATTTGAAAACCGCGTCTAATTATTGTGACTATTTCTCTGCGATCCAACTTTCCTTTTTTATCAACTGTCGTCGAAACAACAATGAAGGAATTATATAATATGATTTTAGTTTTTATGTAATTGACTCTCAGTATGATAAATATGTAGAAGATCTTGAATGAAGTCATCAATATATTATATAAAAAACAAGTTTCGATTTACTCACACACTCACTCACTGACTCATCTATGCCCAGCTCAAACTTTCGAACCTAGTCTGCTAAAATTTCGCATATAAAGGAAATCTATAATGTAATCAATCGGGACTGAAGAGGATTACGCTTTTGCTTTAAAGTTACCATATTTTCTTTACTATAAATATTTGATACTTAAAATTAATCACTAATAACTGATTTTTTTTTCAAAATTCCAACAGCATAGAGAATGTCAATGATATTATGACCACAGTA